TAACACTCCAAAAGCACATTTTATTATCAAACAGACTGTATTTTACGTGAATTACCAACCTGTGACCGGCGGTTCCAGTCCTCAGACACGCTTCGCTGACGCACTGCTCCACTCGTTTTCCTCGTTATTTTGGCTCACCAGAGAGTAATGATGTCCTCCAAATATGAAATTTATTCCTCTGCGTCAATTTCATAATCTTCTCTCGCCTAAAAATCATATACCGGGCCATCAGACAACTTATGCTCCTGACGCGCTAAGACTCCATACTGTGGGTACAGAAAAGGGGTAGACTGGTCTCCAGCTCATTATTTTTTCTGCCCAGCAACAAGTGTGGGTGTTGACTTTGAAGTTGTTTTCACACCTGCTCATTTCTATTGGAGGGGTTGGGGACACATGTAGGGAAGTCTGCCAAACAATCACTAGCTGAGCATCAATAGCTATTTACACAAAAAAGCCCCCCATTTGCAGATTGTTTTGTACTACACGCTCCCTCTGTTTGGCTCAGTTTGACCCGGAGCATCTTTATGGCTTTGTCAGTCCACATAATCAAAGATGTCTTATTCTGAAACAATGTAAAAACCTACTAATAATCAACAAATGTAAAAATTTGCCCTTTACCTATGTTTTTGTCATATTTGGCTAAACGAAAAAATAATAAATTCACAAATGATGCAAGACTTTTCACACCAGGTCATTTTTATTTGACCCACACTCATTTCCACATTTGGCAAACTTTGCCAAAAAAACACAAGCTGAACAGTCAGTATGTACATATTTACACACACACACAGCCAGCCCCCACTGAATGCAGCAATCCTATGCGTCGCAATCAGGGCAGTGTCTGCGTGTGTGTTGCCAGTTTGTCCGTCTGCCGGTGAGCTGCTCTGTCTTCCTGGTTATCAAACCTGATAACCCGGGAAATGACCTGGAACGTTTCCAGCGACATTTTGGCCCTGAAGATGGCCCTTCCACTTTCAGCAGACCAGAGCGAATGCAGAGACTCTCCTTTGGACTTGAAGACTCCAGCCAGGTAGAGCAGACCAAGGTAGGCGTACAGGAGGATCATGTCCACAATCTTCCACCACTCTCCATAAACCCGCCGACCTTCTATGTTGGTGCAGTCCAGGATTATGTCCAGTATGGAATCATGCATTAGCTGACTGAAGGCTGATTTTATGTCCCAGACATGGCTGATTGCCATTCTAGTTGGCCCTGGTTCCATAGTAATAACATTTGCTGCAAGGCGGGGTGGCTGCTTATAGGGGTGAGAAGACCATGAAATGCCAGTGGATCTCGCCATGAAGACCTCCGTTGTTGCTGGGTCAGCCTGTAATTGTTTCAAAATAATAAATCACAATTACAATAAGTTCTAAAACACAGCTCAGCCTATAATTGTTTCAAAATTATAAATCAAAATTACAATAAGTTCTCAAACACAGCACATTTTAGCAAACAGACTGTATATTGCATTGTTATAACTTACTTCTCCCTGCTGCTCCGCGCTTTCATCCACGCGCTTCACAGAAACAATGTGCTTTGTCTTTCGTTTCCTTTTCCCGTCTGCGGATTGCTGTAAACACAGCAATGATAACAAAAGTTACAAATGAGCAAGATGTAACTAAAACAAACAGCGTTTTTTTTATCGAACAAACGGCGTATTGCACAAATAATTACTTACTTCTCCCTGCTGGGAGGCTCCATGCGTAACTGAGCAGGAGCGCGCTCTCCCTCTGCCTGCGGATTGCTGTAAACACAGCAATGATAACAAAAGTTACAAATGAGCAAGATGTAACTAAAACAAAGAGCGTTTTTTATAGAATAAACGGCGTATTGCATTGGAATCCAAGTCTTACCTCAGTACTTGGATCGTAATCTCGATCCAACAAATCGTCATCCCCTAAATCGCTGGAACTCTCAGAAACTTGGGACAGGTGGTCCTCCGTTTCTGAAATCTCCTCCATCTCTTTGTTGTCAGACGAGTTGTTGTTGGAGTGCCATCTCGGTAGACAGTCTGCGAGCTGTTAGGTAATTTCTTAGATAGATATTGATTAGAGATTTGTTGTATTAGAAAATGTTAGTGTAGCCAGGATGTCTAGCTCAGGCTGTTAAGTGCTTAGTTCATTGTCATGAGTTCTGCAGGCTGCATGTGGGCCCCAAGGTCAACTAGATTGAAGAGTCTGCAGGCAGGATGAATATTGCTATTATTATTGCTATGTTCAGCCGTAATCTTAATCATAACATTTTCCGAGGCTTACTGTTCGGACATGTCCCTGAATGTCCTGTATGTTTTTAGATACATACCACATAATCAACATTCACACACATTATTTTCTTCATGTTTTGACTACTGCTCTGCTCAGCTGGCATATCAGGTGATGTCACGGTTTGACATTGCCTGCGTAGGATGGGGCAAGCCCAAGGAAGTGATTAAATTGTATAGGCTATTAGGTTCGGGGTCTTTCTTCTTCCGGGCTGCCTGTGCGCAGTTTTGGGGGTGGAAGATGCCTGGACGTGTAATGTTAATTCTTGCCTGTGACCCTTTGAATAAACCAGCACGGTTATATTTTTTTATATATCCAAGTGGTCTGAGTCGTCCCT